ATATCAAATTATTAATTATTTATCAATTACAACAAATTATAACAAATTATAACAAATTATTAATTAATTAATAATATTTATTATTATTATTATTATTATTATTATTATTATTATTACAATTAATACAGATCAGGGTCCATGATGACTTCTGAATACATTCGCACAGATTAGGTTCACATCTACTTGACTTATTTGTACACATACTCGTATGTAAAGTCTCGATTTCCCATGAAGCATACTTTTCCAGATATGCAGATTACAAACATCAATCACAAATTAGCTTAGCATTTCTGTTAGAAAATATAACAGAAGCCTAATCAGTCTAATCAGCAATTGATTGTTAATTACACATTTCCACGAAATACTATGTGAAGAAGGCTTTCAAAATGGCGTAACGTGTATTAATAAAATACTAGAATACGTAGATTACGCTTACGCAAGTTATGTCGCATATGACGGCACCCTGACACTAGAGACACTACATAAGAGACTGGAAGTTGATCATGTAACTTTTCCCCTAGGGCGGAAACGTGAAAAGTGAAAAGTTTCACGTGAACTTACGATCATGTACGATTTTGCGGAATCATGTAACTCTCTCAAACGTGAAAATGTGAAATTTTTCACGTGAACTTTTTCGCCATGTACCTTAGTGACGGAAAGGCGGAAATCTAGGGAATTAATAAATATGCTTCGGAATTAGAGAAGATTAGAGCTGCGTTAGGATTAAGTATACGTAGTACATATACAATTGGTTATTAAAAGATGTATATAATACTGTACCAATAAAATAATTTTCATTAGCTATAAAACCTATGAAACTATGTTTCATGATTTCACTTTCTACGCATCCAAGCTACATACATAATCGCTGTATATGAAAAGTTTCACATGAAAGGTGTCAAGGTGTAAAAAATAAAAAGTAAAAAGTGAAAAATGAAAAGTGAAAAATTTCACGTAAAGTTACATGATTGATCCCCTGGTCACGAAAAAGCAACTTTTGATTAGTCCACCATCTTTTGGTTATTTTCATTTATTTTCAAATACATTAACTACATTAATTTTAAATTGTAATATTATTTAAAAACATAAGTGTTTTAAAGATAATAAAATGTATATATGTATTTATAAAACTTTATTTTACATAATTATATTACAAATTTATTAATATATTTATCGTATTTATTAATATATTTCCTTTAATATTAAATTTTAAATTTATTATTATTTATTTA